GTGCACACGCGCACGCACACACACACACACACACACACACACACACAACGCATCCACAAATGCTGGCCTCCTCCTTGTCCTTGCCAGATGGCAAACAAGCATGAATTCTGTGGGAACGAAGCACAGTCCTGCCCAGGCTTGTGTCTGTGAGCAGGGTACATTATCACCTTACACAGGCCAGTGAACTCTTGGGCGAGTGGAAATTTAACCTCGCCGCCCTCAATAACAATAACCCAGATTCTATCAAAAGACAGGGAGTAAACTGCACTTCCTTCCTCAGATCTAAGGTATCCTACTGAGCCTGGGTGGGTACTGGATTCTGAGCCCACTAAAAATGCAGAAATAACTTAAGAGTCTATTATGAACTACTGGACTTTCTATTAGGGCCATGGGCTTTCTGGGTGCAGTGGGGTCTCGAGCAGCAGGGCCAAGGATAAGAAAGATAGGCTTTCACTAAAGGAGAGCTAGGCCTGCACTGTGCTGTGGTGCGCTGGAGAACCTGTCTCTCCACACGTGGTGACACGGGACAAGAAACCGTGGAATCTGTCCTGTTTATGTTACACTGAGCATCCCTCCTCTCTGCCTGAGATGTTTACTCTCTCCATCCTTTGACTCCGCTTTCTCCCCCGCCCCATCCCATCTTGTCTCACAAACTCAGTAAATGTGCGGAGGCCCCAGCTCCTCATCCTTCCTCAAGAAGCCCTCTTGACACCCGTCGCATGATGGCCCATTCTGTGCCCGATGGGCTGAGGCTGTGCCGAGGACTCCAGCCTCACTGCTGTCTCATGGCTGAGGGTGTCAGGGTCCAGGGCACACAGTCAGTCAGCAACATGAGCTGCCTCGTGTCCAACCAAAGCTCAACTCTTACGCTCACGGTGTTCTTCCTCCAAGCCCACAGCCTGAGAGCAGCCTCACACTGGCCACCGCCTCCCGGTGTGTCAGTCAAGATGGCCCCAGGTGCTCCGGCTCAACGCGCTCCAGGCCGGTGACGCTTCCTTCCCGTCTGCTCGCTTTCTACCTGTCTCCACTCCTCTCCATCACCAGCAAGGACGATTTAGCATCATCTAGATATTTGTTCTTAGACCTCTCGCCCTTCAGGTGGTAGCTGGTATTCCCTCATTGCCACGATGTGGCCCTAACACAGGATCTGATCTGCTGACCCACAGTGAAGGTGACAGCCGCCCAGGGCACAGCTTTTTGGAAAGAGAGTGAGGAAGGAGAGGGGGCGTTCGACAGAAAAGCCAGATTGCAGTCTTATTCCTGTTGATCTTGAGTTGGTCCACTGGGAACCAAGTTCTCTGTGTGTGAGGCGGGGTCAGGTAAGCAGCTCCACAGGAGTTTGTGAGGACAGGGAGTGATGCACTTGAAATATGCACAGGCGAGACGCATGCCCTTGAAAACATCCCATGCGTAGCTTCTCAAAACCCAGCCGCCACCTTATTTCAACCCTGAGCGCTCAGTTCTTCCTTTCGCCAGGGCCTGAGGACTTCTCAGACTGCTCATTCTGCCCTCCCCGTGCTGCCCCCGCCTGCCCACCTGCCCCATGCCTTGAGTGCACAATTCCCTTTCAGCCTCCCTTGGTGCCCCCGAATGGGCCCTCGGATGTGGCGCTCTGCTTGTGTGGGGAGTGCGGTGTGTGGGGGCTGTCACTGAGCAGAGCAGGCTGTCCGGAAAGGCTGCAGAGCCCATGGCTGCCGGGGAGATGATAAACTGCACCACATGTGAACGGCACCCAATCCCAGCATCCTGGGCCAAAGTAGGAGCTGAGATGCAGGCAAGAACAGCGGAAAGCAGCAGCCAGGATTTATAGGGAGTGTCCCGTCTGCCTCAGCCATGGCAACAGAGTGCACAGGGAGGGCATTGAAGCTCTTCTGATGATCTGGAAGCTGGGTCGCAGACCCTGCGCGTGCTGTTGTGCTTGGGTTTGTGGGCGGTGACCTCTGCCTGAGTTTTCTCTGTCCGAAGTGCTGAGGCCACGGAGCATCCTGCTCAGGAGGAGGAGTTCCAGAGCCACAGGGCTGGGGGCTGAGCCCCACCTCCCCACCTCTGCCGCCCACCTGCTGTGGGACAAAGCAAGGGGCAGCCTCTTGCCTGGAAGTCTCCTTACCCGTGAAATCAGAGGATAATAGCGCCTGGGCTCTTGGGGATGGAAAGTGCCCAAGGCAGAGTGGATTGAGCTCTTTGTAAGGGTCACTATGCAGCCTTGGCTAAATGCTGCCACTGCGCCCCGTTCTGTCTCGTTGGATCCTCATGAAGACCCTGGAAGGTCTATTATCATCCCTTCTTTATGATGACAAAATCCAAACTAAACAGAAGCTCAGGAGGTCAAGTAATCTGTCCAAGGTCATAGCTAAAGAGAGATATGTCCTGTAGACAATTAGACACTGCGCTTCCCCCACCAAGGACCGTCCTTCAAGGGCCAGCACAGCCGGATCCTGAAGGAAGGAAGGGGCAGCCTCAGAAAGGGCCAGAGGCCAGGACTCAGGAGCCGGGCTTCAGGGCTTCGGGCTTCACTTCTTATCATTGTGCAGAGTCCTGCATCTCCCTGCACCCCAGCTGCCCCACCAGTGAAGTGGCGACAGCACTACGTGTCCACTGCAAGGAGCCTACATGAGTCCAGATTGGTGGCACACAAGAGCAGGACATGAGCCCCAAGTCCAGACCTTGCCATTCCTGAAGGCGCCACTTACCTCTGCCCGTCTGCTTAACCTTGGACACATGGGTCCATGGCCCTTCCGGCCAAGTGCCATACCTGCACTGCCCTCTCTAGCTGCTGGCCTAGGTGGCCACACAGTAGGGCCTTTACACAATGCCAGCTAGACACCCATGGACGTTTTAGCTCCCTTCAGGGGATTCTTTTGCTATGTATTTGTTTTCCTTTTCTATTCCTTTTTCCCGCTTTCTGGTGCTGCTTAAAATAAAAAAATTATCACATGAACATCTGGGTGTCTTCACAAGGCCAGTTTTATACCTCAGAAAATAACCACATGAGGAGAGGGACCACCCTCCTGTTCTGCCAGAGTCGGGCACATGGGGTGGCAGAGCAGCCTCTAGGAGCTCTGTAGAAAGCAAAGTCACAGCCAACCCCGCTGCACTCACACAGCTGTAAATGGGAAACAGTCAGAGCTCAGAAGAAGGGTGTCTTCGGCAGGCATCTCAGGGGCCACAAGGGACCCGCACACCTAAGGCCCTGGAGGAACACCTCCTCTCCCAGTCTCTCAAGGTGAAGATTTCCTGAGAAGAGCCCAGGACCCCTCCTGTTCCCTTTCAAGCAATATGCTATGACATTGTCTTTTCTACTCCCAGCTGTGAGCCCCATCATGATGATCCTGCCCACCAAGGAACTGTCAGGAGCACAGCCCCTGGCGTGAGCCTCACGTACCCCGTGCCCCTAAGAAGCACTCTTTACTGCATGCCCTGGCTGCTTGGTGCTGCAGTCATGCAAACGTCACTCACAGCCCAAGTTGAGGAGATGCTGTGAAGGCAATGGTGGCTATGGGAGAGGAGGCCTCGGTGTGCAGTGCCAGGGCGCAGCCACAGCACTAGGTGTGTGCACCAGTATCCTATTGTCTTTGAAGATATCATGGCATGGGACAGACTCATGGGGTTGTGACCTGAGACGCATAGATCCCGAGATAGGAAGGGGAATCACAGAGTGTGTCCGCCTGAGAATGGCAAGCACATTCCGTCCCCACTAGGGGCTGACGGTAGGTTCCAGAAGCCCTGCCCTGGGGAAGACACTCTCAGGTGAAGCCAGACACAACTGGCCATGTCAGCCGTGAGCAAGGCGACAGAGTGGGGCAGCCAGAGGGCCTGTATGTATCTTCCCAGCCTGTGAGAACCCTTGGCTGTGAAGACGAAGAAGGCGCAACTCTCTAGAGGCCAGGTGGGCAGCACCGCGAGGCCTTGCTGGCTTGCCGGTCATCCCTTCTTTCTACTGCACAGACGTATATGGTGCTCACCTCGGCCTGAACCAAGTTGCAGACGGCAGAGGGTTGCGGGGCAGGGATGGAGGCAGATGGAGTAAGGTAATGAGATTCATGGGCTCTGAACACTTTGGAAGACAGGGGAGCGGGTGGGCAGAAGGTGAGGCACATGTTTCTGGGGCCACCAGCCTTTACTTTGCCGAACTCTTTCTGGGAATGTTGGCAAAACCTCCTTTAATCAAGAAGCCAGGGTCTGTGCACCCTGGTATGGTGGAGCATGTGGGGCAGTTATAGTAAGAAGTCTGAATGACACCATGGGGGAGCCTGAGTGGCACTGTGGCATGCAGAGAGCGCTCACACGTGTGGTGGTGGGGCAGCCCCGTGTGCACCGAGAAGGGAACGTGCACTGCTCGTGGAGGAGACCAGCCATCGGTGGTCGCCTTGCCGTACAGCCGCGTGGGCCTTGCGCCCCGGCTGCCGACACACAGGGCCTTCCTTTGGCCAAAACACCTTCATTTCCTCTGCATGGCCGCACTGCTTTCTTCCCAGTCTCTGTGTGTGGGTGGTGGGTGACAGCGTCCCCGCCCAGTGGGCACAGTGATTAGTGTGGTGAGGGGGATGTGATGCCACAAGAACCAGCGGAGCGATTGCAAGGGTCAGCCAGCCTCAGCAAGAGTCTCCTGGGGGCTGGCGCCCTGGCAGACAAGCAGAGCCGGGACAAGTTCACACTGGGCGACACAGGGGTGGGCGTGAGGTTCTCATAGGGCGGAGCCAGCCGAGAGGCTGTGGGAACCCAGGCCAGGCGCCAACCAAAGCTGACATCGGCATCAGGTCAGCGTCAGGCACCGGCACACAGCCACGCCTGACGGCAGGGCTACCCCGGAAAGTGTCAGCGGCGTGAACAACTAAGTTCCCACCCAATGTTTTTCCCTTCTCAGTTAAATTTCTGTCATTTGCAACAACAATAACAAAAATGATATTGGCCCACAACACAGCAAAACTACGTTCTCCACAGAAGGCAGACAGAACCGAACGTTTCTCTTGGACCCAACATATCCTGAGGAGCCAAGTTACCTGCAAGGAGCCCTGGACATCCTTTCCTCCGACAATCACGAGCTCTGCCATGTCCTCTGCATGGGGAGTCCGCGCATGGACAAACAGGGTCTTGCCCACCGCGGTGACATTTCTCAGGGAGACTAAGCCACCGTCGCTGTTCACCTTGAAGTACGGGCTTGAGACTTCATAGCGCAGCTTGTCGTTGCCCTTACAGTCGCTGAAGGTCACTGGGAAGAAGAGAACCAACAGAAAGAGAGTAGGTAGGCTGGATAACTTAGTCCTGGGAACATCTCTGTCCTGTTCAACGTGGGCCACCCTGCACTCCCTGCCCCAGCGTGCCCTTCTCCTAGAGCAAGGCAAGTGACATTGACTGTGCCATGGACCCCACGCCACTGGGACACACTCTTGATCATCTCCCAGCTTCCAGGCAGGTGCTGAGCACCATGGAGGCCAAGGTGAGAGGGAACAGGGGACGAACAGTCAGCGGTGCACAGCGACCCCTGAGGGAAGTGATCCAGTTCCGGCAGGCACGCGTTGCGGGGCAGAATCACAGAGTCCTTGGAAGCATCGAGGACAGTTTCACAAGGCAACATTTGAGTCAGCATGTGGGGTGGCAGAAGATCAGAAGCCAACAAGAGAGTGGAAGACGGTGGGGTTACGCCACAGTCACGGGGGTCGGGGCTAAGTAACAAAATAGAGCAAGGGAATTAAGTGGGTACATGTGGACCAAATGCAACTTGGAAGTGGGGCGGGGATGTCAGCAAGTAGAGGGACAGGCTGGAAATGCTGTGGGCCATGGCCTGCAGAGACACATAGGGACAAGTTGGAGAATTAGGGTGCTTCCTAGGAGCACGGACTATTTTAGTGCGGGCCGTCAGGGTCAGGCATCCTCTTGCTCCAGAAGAGAACAGTTCTGCCCAAGAAATCTCATGGGAACTTTCGCAAACCCAAAAGACTCAGTCCATAGATTATAATCTAGTCTATCTGAGCCCTGAGTCTGGAGAAGAGAAAGAAAAAATGCAGTTAGCTTGCTGTGCACCCCACACTTCCTGGCCAAGAGGGGGCAGTAGTGGCAGCGAAGTGGGAGTGGACAGGTGGGAGCCCCAGAGCGGACTGCCCGAGCCACGCGTAGGAGACCAGGCCCGGATGAAGCGCAGGGAGCACGGGCTCTGTCGCCAGCAGTGGGTGCGGCAGCTGTCACGTTCCCCTCCGCACCTGGCGCGCAGGTCTGTATCTACAGCTCTCAGCGCCTACTGCCTGTGCCTGGATTTGCCCAGGCACTTTCCAGTATGGACTTTGGGGCCGCTTGCGGGAAAGCACAGAACTGTACTGCGTGCTAAGTACCCTCCCCCTGGAGGGCTGTTCCGTGACCCCAGTGGAGCCCTGAGACCGTGGATAGCATCCTGCATACACTACACATGCACACTGGAAAAAGCTTGATTTATAAATTATACATGTGCATGCATAGTATGATAGCATTTAATTTCTAAATTACACATACATACATACAGTGAGAAATTTTAATTTATAAATTAGGCAC